TAAGAAATCACATTCTATTTTTCAGTTATTTTTATTAGTATTATTATTAGTAGTTGTATTATTATTATTAATAGTAGTAGTAGTACTAGTAGTAGAAGCATTTGCATATTTAAATCTGATGACTATCATTAAACATTGAGAGCGAATTTCCCCAAACCTCCTATAGTTTTTTCATTATTCTTGCCAGCTCCAAAACGGCGAGCTCTTGGCAAAATCAGCTCTTCAAATTTTTAATTAATCAAATATTTCCAACAATGGTTTTGGTACACTGTCTAAGAAAAACCTCTTCTCTCGGCTTGTGGGCAACACCCTTTTATTGCTCGAAATTTTTAGTTTTACATTCAAGTTGATCTCCGCTGGTACGCTCCCCATCTGCGAAGTCTTCGTTTCCAATAATCCCATCTCGTTTCGTTTTTATAGAGTTGTAGGCCTTGATCTCAAAGTCCTAGAGTGTCTTATTCTATTTTCTCTTTCTGTGAGTGATTTGTGGGCATATGATGTTCCTACCGCATTATTACAAACACGCAAGAATTTCTATGAAGTTTGGACTCCATTTTTTTTCTTAGTTTTCTTGATGTTTCTTTTTTTTTCATCAGAATATTCTAGATTGATTAGCTGCCAACATTTAGAATGGGTAGTGAGAAACAGAAATAACAGAATACTTTCTCTCGAGACTTGTGTTTCGATGGTCTATACATTTATAACTGAATCGGTCATGGCGTTGTTTGTCAGAAAAAAATCTAGATCCCGTGATATAAGATACAAATTTTTGGCATAAAGTGAAAAAATAAATGGAAAAAAATAACCAAAAAATGATTATTAAATATAATTCATCTCACAATTGAAATAATTCAGCTATCAAATCAAAAGATTTTTCAGAATAAATAATTCGGAATGACCAAATTGCGTTCTCATCTAGACAAGTTTCTGCGACCAAATTAGCTAAGTTGTCGTCCATGAAAGATAAGAATATTTCAAAAGTGATGCGCGCTTGCGGCTCGTCGAAAACCGCCATTAACTCCTACTTTATGCTACTTTCATGTATGGAGGGTGTTTTATTTAGGAAACTATGAAAAAAAAAACAGTTCAATAGAAAAAAAAAATTCAATATTCAAATCGTTTAATTGACTGTTTCTTGATAGATCTTCCTTTTCAATCTTCAGTTTCGGGCTAACAAAGAAAATACGACCACAATGGCAGAAATATAATTTGTTATAGCCGCTAATAAATTGTTATTGTATTCATGTAGTAGAAACTTACATAACTAAAAGAAAATGATTTTACACATGAAAATTAGCATTTTCCCGAGAGTGAAGTAGAATATATACTTTCCAAATATATAGAAAGCATATTTAATGAATAGTATGAATATATAAAAAAATAAGTGAAAATAAAGTTAAAAACATGTCAAAACCATCTGACATCGGATTTAAAGGTTCTAAAAAAACATCTTTAATTTCCTTTGGGACATTGCTGCAGTGGCTGTAGATGCTGATTTATTGTGCATTTCTATCTCTAGTAGTCGTGCATTTCATCCCTGGATCAACTCGCAATTTAATACACTCTCGTAGGATCAAGCAAGAAACAACATGACAAGGACAGAATAACACTGTAATAAACAGATATGCTATTCCATATCTTCTTTTGCTTTATGTGCCGTGTCTCCTCATGACTTGGACGATAATGGCTCTCCACAATTTCCTGCTCTTTGCAGATCTAAATATATTCTGTCTTTCTTTTATTTTTAAATCCTGTTCCGTCACCTATTTTCTCAAGCTCGTCAAGTGTGATATGCAATGTTTTCCTCTGTCCCTTTTACCCTGAAGAGACAGTTAAAATATCCCATAATAAACACACACACACACACACACACACACACACACACACAGACGACTAAAGATTTTCTGACTGGAATATCGTCTCTATAATACACATGGTCATTTTCTGAGCATAGCTTAAATGCGGCACAAGGCCGAAAGTATGGGTCACCCAGTGGGGATCGAACTCACTACCCAGTCCTATAGGTATAAATAAGCAACATAAATACGATGGTAATAGCAACGTATTAATAATACATTACCCAATCAAAGAATATCGGACAACTTAAATGACATGTGTTAGTCATATTTATTTATTAAAAAAATACTTATGACCAACCATAAAACAACTGATTCTAAACGATAGGTGTATCGTGCGAGTAAAGTTAAAGACTTCTCTCCTTGTGTTTCATATCCTCACCTAAATCCATAACACAAGTTAAATTAATTTAGTCCGTGTCGTATCAAATTAGATAGACATGTATAAATAAAGAACAACTGTTGAACATAGAGTGGCTATGCCTAGAAAACCCGGTTGCTATTCAGGACACAGAGAACTGTACGACGACGACTACTACTAGGTAGAGAAATATGAAAAAAACATAACAGTAAAAAGTTATTTTCGAAACAGTTAACGGAAATTTCAAGTTGATAGAACTCTCTATCCAAACACACGAATCAACAGGAAACTGCATTTTCCTCATTCACTTTATCATTTAACAAGAGCTTTTATATCTGTGTTTTTGTTTAAGGCCTCGTTTTCAATTTTGAATCTGTTGAGGGGATTCTCCCCTTTTTACACAAATGGACTCATCCAGTATATACATATACTACTGCTACGTGAAGACCCAAGAGACGAGAGCAACAGAGGGTGAAGGTAACAGATAGACAGACAGACAGACAGAACGAACGAACGAACGTAGCGAGCTAGAGTCACCGTGAGCGAGCACGTAGTCTCAGTAAGAAGTCATACAGCGATACTTCAATACCAAAGACTGTTATATATATTTTGCTACTAACCCGTATTCCTGGAACTACTAACCTGCATTACCAGTTGTTTTATTACGTTAATACATTATTTTTCTATATTCATTCTTGGCGTTTGTTATTTATTTGTACTGGATTTCATCCCGGAATCCACAACAGAATCAATTGTTTGCAATTTATGTTTGTTTATTTTTTTGTTATATATATATTTTTTTATCGGACTTTCGCCATATATTTTATCGGATTTCTGCCACATGTGTTTAAGTCACCAATTACTTTTTACCTTTTCTCATATATTAATTGTCTATTTCTTTTTCTGCTGTTTACTGTCAATCCCTAACGTCATTTGCTACGGCCATTTATTTTATTTCATTGCTATCCTAATTCAATTTGAAAACAATTTCCTGATAATAGATTAAAATGCACGTGTCTTTAATCACACAGGTGTGAAAAAACACATTTTTGAAGAAAAGAAAATATCTCTCTCCTTCTCTTTCTCTCTCACTCCCGAGCGCTCACTCATTCTCATACTAACTTAGATTACTTCCAAAACTTTTCTATAATAAACAGCATACCTTGTTGAAAAAAAAAATGCCTCAAACTTGTTAAAAACTAAGTTTTATCGTCAAAATAGTTAAGCTATTAAGAGGAAAGTGCAAAGTATTTTTGATTATTTTATCAATTTTTTTTTATCCCATCTAGAACGTTCGAAATTTTAGTTAAAAATCTTTTTTTATTTTTCATGCATCAGAGGGTGGGCAAAGTGTAGTATTGAAAACTGTAGGGTCGTTTTTGTCGTTAATCACGTTGTCAAACAATTGTCGGATTTTAATGAAATTTTCAGGAAATACTCACAAATAAAGTATTTTTTAAATATTTTTCGAAAATATAGTTATTTTTGGTATCTCTTACCCACCCGCTTATTTAATTTTATGAAATTTTGAGAAATTAAAATTTCAGAGTCTTCATATGTATATCACTTAAAAGCAGGACTCCTTGAAGAATTTAAATGACCAATTTGTTTTTGTCAAATAGAAACACCATTTATCAAATATCTGCTCGGAATTGTAGAATAAAAAAAATACAATAAAGCTATGACATTAACTAGAAAACTTTTAATTGTTTTTGTTTTAATAAAATATATTAAGGGTACTATTGTTTTAATAATTTTTATTGGATGAATTATGAATTTTTACAATAATTGTATCATATTTTTTTAAAATTTTAATTATAAAAATATTTTGTTATTCTTTTAATATTCTGTATTAATTTCAGACTTTTGGATGGTACTATTATTAAGTGAAAACTATATTTATTAAGTATAAATAGAAAAGCGTAATACAAATCATCAAACACCAAAAATTTTAGAATAATTTTGAGTTTTGTTTATATGTGTATAAAAGGACCAATGTTTGTAAGTACAGGTGAACCTACCCGGCAGTATAATAAAATAAGAGCGATAACTATAGAAAATTTAAACCAACATTTTAAAACTTCAATAAAACCTTAGATTACGAAGAATATATTCCTAAATTCTTAAGATTACTGAGTACTCAAAAATTATATAAAAAAGGTGTCACATCATTTTCTGCAATTATGTTTTACAGATAAAATTTTCGTAGAACAACATTGGGTCTATCATCAGTCTGTCAACATATCAATACAACTAATGTTGGGTTAAATACACAGCTACAGTTTGGTTAAAAAATGCATTTTTGCGATACTTTAAACTTAATGTAAATAATATTTGTTTAAATTCAGATTAATTATACTTTAAATCAGATGAAGTTTCAGAAAAGTATATTTTATTTTTGAAAGCAATGAGCAATTTTATCAAAAAAAAATCAACTTTTCCCAATCAATTCAAATTAGGTTTTAAAATACAAAAAAGTATTTTGTTTATTAGGAATATTAAATTTAATCGATTAGCTTGAACTCTCATATTAAAATAACTAAAATAAAAGCTTCTTGAAATATTTTCATTGTCAAAAAATCATTTTAAACCTTTGATATCGCATTTTTATGGAGTTCCCTATACTAACCTATGCAAACACTCACAAATATGTATACATACACGCAGACATACATAACAAAACATAAATAGTCATATTTACATATAGCGCAAGGTTTTCACAAATGCTATATAGAGCAAAATCTATCGTTTCTCCATTTCAAATTGTCTTACGGTTGCATTACGCTAAAACAACGCTTGCCGTACGAACATCGAAGTTAAGCAATGTTGAGCCTGGTCAGAATCTAGATGGGGGACCGCTTGGGAATACTAGGTGCTGTAAGCTTAGATGTGCGGGTGGTGTAATGGAGAATGGCACGGAATTGTTAATCGGAGAGCTGAGTTTCAATTCCTGCTGGGTTCGTTGTATTCACTTATAGGCAAATAACCTTGGGAAAGATATGAATCCACCTCTTCTCACCCCACCTACGGGTTCATTGGCAAGAGTTATATCAGTACAATAAACCTTTATTATCTAAAAAATCCTACTATCTATAAATATTTCCTAGTTTTAAATAACCTGCAAATGGTTGTTAACCCGTAAAAAAAAACAATCAATCAGTCTATTTCAAATTCAGACAATGAGCTGATTACTTTGAAATGACGTAAATTGTCTTCCCAGAGTTCCAAACTTAACTAAAAAATATCTGTAAATCGAGCGCAGAGTATATATATTAACATTAAATATTAGACGACGCCAAGGATTCATCTCTGATGATGTGTACCAGAGCACCTGAAACATGTATTTAATGAAAAAATATCACCGACGATCGGTAACAATCAATAATCACGGCTATTTGAATTTGGCCAGTTAGCTTTATCTTGTATATTTAAAAACCGTTCCATGGACACAATAATAATATCAACCATTCGTACTATGTTATTCAGCTAAATTTACTGGAGCTAATTTATTTGAAGCTTATGCTATAAGCCTTGCTGAGTATCAATAATTAATCAAATAGGAAAAAATAACAGGAAACGTTGTTAAAGGTAACTTCATCGTGAAATATTTATGAATATATTAGTTTTGAAAAGCCCAGGAATTGTTACTGTAGAATTATGTCTCCAATATAAATTAAAGTTAATGACAAAAAGAAAGGAACTCCAAATTTAAAAAAAACAAAACAAAAAACAAACAAACAAATAAACAGGTAAGTTGTTGGAAATATAACGTATTTCTATCTCAAGTTCAGCCACCCCCCCCCCAAAAAAAAACACATACACAAACACACACAACGGAGGAGGATGTAGTGATGCCTTTAATTGTCCTATGCATTGGCGAATCAGCAATTGACGAGATTTTCTGGTAAAATCACATCTACGCCCTCAAGATTCTTAGTTTGAATCTTCCCGTTATGGGAATTCCGGATCTGCAGCTGCTAGCATTGGAAATCTCATACTCACTTTTTCTTCTCTACTATTGACAAACTGTCTGCAAATTGTCCCTACTTGGGACAATAACAGTAGCCAATACATGCCATACGAGTTGTTCTATTTACAAAAAATCCTTTCTCCCGGGGAAAATATGGCTCATTTGATTTGGACTAACAGACAGACACAATGCACTTATGTACCTGGAGACAAGTGGAGACTCACGTAGCGGCACAACTGGCTCGGACTGCGGAACACATACTGTGGTCACCAAACTCCATTTTGAGCTACATAATTAATTAAATGTAATATCTTAACTGATGTTGACGTAAGCTAAACAAAGTGAATTCGAATTAAGTTCCTTCGTATTTCTAATTATAATAACAAAAACTGTAAAAAGTAAATAATAAGTCTTGAGGCTTAAACATTAATTTTGTTCTCATCAGAAAAGATGCTCCTTTAATTTCAGCCCCAATATCAAGAATTTATTAACAGAAAAATTGTCATCAAAATGCTTGAAATACAAAAGAGTCAATTTACGCAATCAATTATTACTTTGTTTAAGAATACAAATCTCTCATTGGGACATGTCAGTATCTTCCAACTTTAGTTTCGTAAACGAAACGTAAACAAAGTAATCATTAGCAATTCTTTTTTATTATTTCTTCCTACGATAAATGTTACATTTAGTTGGTACACGTATTTGAGTAGTCATTCCTGTTTTGTATTCAGAGGAATTAACATCTACCAGCTTAGAGATTCAAAGTCTTATTAATAGAAATGTGCCACTTGATGGGAAGAGAAATTGCGATTCCTTTAACCTGGGAAACCACCTTCCAACCTTACGTGCCTTACGATTTAGTTACGAGATATCGTAACAGCAAAGCATGGCTGGTCATTAGATGTTCGTACTTAGGCCCTCTTAAGAATGATAAAGATTGTACTGACTTCTAAAAGTTTCTATTCTAATCAGTAATTTTCTTGTTTGTGGTACTCACAACGTTTTGACCGTTCTATGCTCTAACCTTCTTCAGGTGCGCGTTGTACTCGATGGCCTTATCGGAAGTTTTCTCTCCGAATTCACTGATAAGGGGAGATACCTCGAAACTGTCCATTCACTCTAGGACTGAATGCTTGATCTGGAAAGCCAAAATTCGAGTCAGAAACGACAATAAGATAGATTTAGGATAATACTTTGGATTATATAACGTGGAATTTACGAAGAGATCATTTAAAGTGAGAAAATGACATGAATTGTTATAAATAGTATCCAGGAACAATTCTTAAATCACAAGCAATATTAAATGCTAAGAGAGAAGGATAAAATAACAAATGTATAATGACTGAGACAACACTTGTCTCAGAAGAAATGCAAATATTGCAATGACTTAGTGGAGAAAGTAATCTGCTAGGAACCATAAAAAAAGAATAATGATTGACCTATTTCTGTTGACTTACCCGAAGCATAATCAAAGTTATCATTAAGTAATTAAGATACACTATTTACATTATTCGGACTATTGTTCTCATCTGTGTCGCCATATTTATTACAACTCACACATGGCATAGTGGATAAAGGCGTTAGTTAGATCCAGTCACAGTACCCAAAGTGTTTGAGTTCAATACCCGGTTAAGGCAGTGGAGAACTTTCAGAGGGGAATTAACAGGAGATAACTGATAACTGACATCTATTAAACATAGCACGTGGAACTAGAACAGTCTACCCCAGTGAGCGAAATAAAGGGTTCAATTCGACATTCCAGCCACCTGAAGAAGGTCGTTACGTACAACGGCCGAAACGTTGTAATAAATATAGCGACAAAGATGAGGACAATAGTCCGAATAATATAAATAGTGTACATAATACCTCATCTCAGAAATTTAGACAGATACTTAGTAATTAGGGTATTTTTAAATTTTCTTCCTACAATAATTTTTAAATTTATTTGGTACAAGTTTTTGAATAGATATCCTGTTTTATCAACAAAGAAATTATCATCTGCCGGCCTAGAGATCCAAAGCCGTTCTGAAGGAAATGTATCTTATTAAAGAAAATGTGCCTTATTGATTGTGACTGAATATAGAATATGCAAAAACTAGGTGTACCAGGGATTTAAGACATCTATGGAACTTTAAATCTCAAAGAAATCGGAAAAACCGGATCTGCTTCTTGGAAACAAAAAAAAATCTTTGTCAGATAGTCTCTCTCTCTCTCTATTGGAGCAGAAAAAAGAGTACATTTGAAAGAAAGTAAAAATAAAAAAAAGATATCTGGACATTGGGAAGGAACTGAAAAAAAGATTTCATCATGGAATGATATCCATACTTCAGTATACTACTGGGAGACTTGGAACAGGCCTGAGGAACTGAGGAACATTAAAATGAGAACAGACATCCAGACGATAGCATCATTAATATCATCAAGAATACTGATGAGAATTCTGGAATACAGCGTTGAATATATATATATATATATATATATATATATATATATATATATATATATATATGGAGATAGATAGATAGATAGATAGATAGATAGATAGATAGATAGATAGATAGATAGATAATTACGTCGCCCATAGCACCTAAATATTAATAATGATAAGAAGAAAAGTTACCCGACAGAACAAATCAGAGAAATATGCCAAACAACAACTCAAGTGTTTTTTTTTTTTTTTTCTTTTTTGTGGTTGGCGAACTCTGGACATTTTCCAGTAATCTTTCTGCCTCGCAGGACGTTTCGGGAATAACTAGCATTGTTGGGAGTGCGGGGGTCACAGATCTGCTTGGAATATTTCATATACTGAGGAATGTAATATATATATAAGCTGATGAGATATGATTATCTCCACCCGATCGAAACATCGGAGAGTCGGAGAAAATACCAAATAATAATAATAATAATAATAATAATAATAATAATAATAATAATTCATATGGAGTACGAGCTGTTTTTCATATCGGATGAAGCAAAATAAAAAGTAAGTGACAGGTAGGGAATTAGACACCGATATCTCCCCCGTCAAAATACCTGTGAACTTAGCCTTATTTGACCATTGATCGCCTGATGAAAATCATTGCTTCAGTTAACCAACAATAGAGTTACTAAGTCGAATTATATTGGCGTGGAAACGTGCTTATTTCATGTAAAGCTCACCTGAGAAATACGAGGTGGGAAATTGTTTGTAACTTTGTAAAAGATGATTGACAGGTTGTTATTTGGTTTTAGAAGAAAAAGCGTGAAAGGCGAGATGTAAGATCAAGTCAAGAGTGTCAAGAAAAGAAATCAACTTTTCGAAAACATCGATCAAAATATGAAAAATGTTTTATTTTTTTCTTTCTGCCTCTCTGTATTTATTTTTTCTTTCTTTTTTTCTTATGTTATTTTTTTCTTGTTTACGTGGTTGTTAGATATAGGCTCGTCGCATAACTGCAATAACTTCAAACAACCGGAGTCGCAAAAAATTAATTTTCAGAGAAAATTGTGGGTAACGAATCATCAGTGACCAAGTGAATCACTTTGAAACGAATGAATTGCTTTTTGATATGTCTGATTTTATCGCTCTAATGTTGTACCTTTTCGGGGTAAGATTCGGACTGCTTGATCTAATAGGCTTTTTTTTTTAAACAAAAAACAAAACAAAAACAAACTGTGTTTGGAGAATAAAGGGTGTCCTACGTATATTAGTTTTCAAATTTCTTGTAGGAAGATAAATTATTGTAATACCATTGAACCTATTTTACTCATGAGAAAACTTTAAATTTTCCAATATTCCACAAACTGATTTGCTGACATCTCTGATATCTAACAAAAAAGCAACGACGTTTATGAAGTTTATTTCTGAAAACGAATTCCAGGAACATTTACCAAATGGGAAATTTATTGAAGTCGAGATGCCAGGTTAGCACC